TACAAAGAAGAGTTAGAGAAAGCTTACGATAGGCATTCCCGGTAGAAGACAAGGGTCTTGTACTATTGGTAACGTAGGCAGAGGCCTAAAGCTATTGTAAGACAAAGGAAGAAGAAGAAAGGAAGAGAAGTATCGTTCCCTATCGCCAAGCACTAACTATCCAGAGAGGGATCGTTACAGATCCCCTCTTCCACAAGTGTAGCAACTCTTATGTCCTCACCTGAAACCCTCATCATAACTCCTTAAATCTATAAAGGCTACTTTCAGTATCCATCTCATCATCCTATAATACTTTCCCTACCAGTCCATATAATCACTTTGCCATACCTTACCATACCCTACCATTGCCCTCACCATACCATCTACCAATTCCTCTATCCTCTCCAAGTTTTCCAGACCTTTAAATAACCATCTCACCTTTTCCTCTCACTCCTCCAAGTACTTTCTCCAATCAGGTACCTTCCTCCTTGGGATACTGCCACAAATCTCCTAACAGACACCACCTTCCATCAACTCAAAAGCCAGTACAAAATAAATACTTTTGTGAAGACTTTGTGAATGAGAATGCACTTAACTAATAGTACCCTTCTACAGCAGACCTTCGTCTACCAGCTATTCCTACCACAATGGATCCTAATCTTATTACATGTCTAGATATGGCTTTCAGTAACTGCTATTATTCATAAAGGATTATTACAAAATATAAGACTTTTAATTTCTTAATTTTGAGCTATAAAACTCTAGTATACTGTAATGATCCATATTTATCTAACTTTTGTAAAATTCCATTGAACTTCAATAGTTCAAGTTAATTCAAGTTAAGCTAGAAGATTCTATTAAACCATGATGTATTAAGTTAAAATACCCTATCGAGCTACATTAATCCCAGTTCGTAGAGGAATTATCCATCTCTCAGCCCACACTTTCCAACGAGCCACAAAATCGCACTGAGCCGTAACCCTATGTTGAACTGCAAACTGATGTTGAGCCGTCGGGCTAGCACTCGGAACGAGTGCTCCCGAAAAGTGAGATGGCGAACTTTCGGGGCTTGCAGCGCCCTTGCTTGCATGCAACCTTGGCACGAGTGCCCAGGGACGGGGCGAGGGATGAAAAGGGGGGGCGGACTCCGTATCAGCTCGGATATACCATAATATTATCATTCAAGACGAGGAGTTCTTTTTTTTATACCGCATATCGGTATCTCTTTAGTCATTGTTTTCGGGTATGACACTTTCTTTGCGTAGGGTGAGTACGAGTACCGTACCTTATTCAGGAGCGGGTTTGCCTTTGGGATCGATACTTAGAAGGGTCAACTTCTGCTGTACTGTACTCCTCCTTGAGCATGCTACAGTGGGAACGGGACGTGGCGATAAAAATATCACAAGCCGTCCACCGCAAAAAGTACGCCCTGCATCATAGGTATAAAAAAATAAATAAAAATAACCAGCCCTCCGGTAAACCAAGATGCCCATCTATCATCTCCAAAAATAAAAAAATAAAAACAGGTTCCTCAAAACCCAAAACACCGGTATCGGTACCATAAAAACCCCCATGGTTTTTCCTCCCTTAATCCAAAGGGGGGTGAGAGAGGAAAATCTGGACCTTCTAGCCTCATTCCGGTCTATGGTAAACCTAATCCCCCTTGTGGCGTACAGTCGCGGTAAGAAAGTAACGGGACACTAGAGGAAAAAGTACGTTTTTCTTCACTCCAGGTTTATAAATGTCTCCCACAAAATTAACAAAATATTGATTTATAACTAGTACTTGGTTCGGGCACCATCCTTTTCAATCAAAGACTTAATCCTCATCGGCATCTCATCAATCATGCCCTAAATCTTGCCCCAGTCTAAGTGTTCCCATTCCCCTTAAGCAACATTGACTACCTCCTCCTCAGTCCGTGGCTTTTTTCCCCTAAACCTTCTCTTAAGCCATAACTTTAACACATGCTAAATGTTTTCTACCGGATTCATGTCTGGTGATTTGGTAGGCCAGTTTAACTTAGCCATATTGTGAGTTCGATAGTAGCCCATTGTCAATACTGAACGATGAACCACATGACCATCTTCTGCAATCTGGTATCCTTTGCCCTGCCCCGGAAGTGACTGAAAAAAGAGAGATACGTAAGGCTCGAGGACTTTGTGAACAAATTGTTGGCTATTAAGCCCTAGTCCATCACGAGGAGAAGTATATTCGCTTGGTTTTTGGTATCGAATATGAACGAGTGGGGTATGATACCTATAGGTGACTGCAGCATAGAAGCTTGTTGTCACGAACATGGCTTAACGAGGAAAGGGTTTTCACATGACGCATAGTTATGAGTCACAGGTATGTTATTGTTTCGCGCATATGACCTATTCGGGTTATATGATTTGTTATGTGTGGGATTTGTGATGCTTTCGCACATGGCTCAAGTATGAGTCATGGGACATGCGCCTGACGAGTATGCCTTGCGAGTGTGCCTTACGGGTAAGCCTTGCGCATATGATTTGTTTATGAGTTTTGCACATGACCTCACTATGAGGTCATAGGTTTTGAGCATGTGATCACTTTGGTCATATGACTAGTTTGTTATAATTTGGTTTTGCACATGTGACCACTTTAGGTCACATGACTAAAGGCGGGAAGAACACTATATAAGGAGGCCGATGCGGCCGAGGAAGATAGGTTCTTCACGCTTTGTTCTAAGTACTTTTCCTACTTATTACTTTAACAAATATAAAACACCTTTATGATCTTTATCTTTATTGCAACGTTATCGCTACGTCAAAGAAGGCGCTTTACGAAGAAGAGTTAGAAAAAGCTTATGATAGGCGTTCCCGGTAGAAGACAAGGGTCTTGTACTATCGGTAACGAAGGCAGAGGCCTAGCGCTATCGTAAGACAAAGGAAGAAGAAGACAGGAAGAGAAGTATCGTTCCCCGTCGCCAAGCACTAACTATCCAGAGAGGGATCGTTACACTTGTTGCAAACCAATTTGACTGCTGATGTTTGTCTTGATAGCGTGACTGATTTCCAGTTCCAATCTTTCGTCAAATCCTTCTTGGACCTCCTTGCTGACGACTACTTGAATAAGTAGTTTCATCCGTAAAAACACACATCCTCCAGTTACTTCTCTTCCAGCTTTCTATCTCTCATACCTATTCTAATCTCTTTACCTCATTTAAGGGAAAAAGCTCTTCCTTCTTTTGCGCAACAAAGCTCCAGTAACCTTGAGCTCTTGCCTCATTTCCAACCAAACACTCACTTACACTCAAATCTAAGTTATGAGTGATATCCTCAACTGTGGCATCGGGATCACTTTCTATATAGTCAGCAATCACTTGTTTGTTCGTGTCGCTGAGTTTTGTTGGAGCTCCAGAGCATGGTGCATCCTCCACATCATTCTTCTCCGAGTCCCTCCATCGCTTCACAATTCTCTGAACTGAGCTTTTTCCGTAACCAGTTTCTTGTTCAATCCCACGATATGAGTACCTGTCTAAATGCATTTGGATTGCCCATAATCACTCCTCTTTGGTTGCTTCACGCTGCTTGCCATTATCGTTTCTGCAAGGCATTTTTGTAGGTTGGATTACTGTAGTATCTCCAAAGCTCATGATCAAGAACCTATTATGTCATTGCTATATTATGGTTGCAACCACACTACAATCCCCCCGGTTCTCTCCGATTTATTTCCGCTAGTGTCCCGTTACTTTCTTACAGCGACTGTACAGTACCGGTACATCATGTCAGTCACACCACACTCGTGGCTAAGACTTTTATCATATGACATGATAAATAGTCCACGAGTAGCACCCAACAACCCAAACGACGACAACCACCAAGCCGTAAATCAATCGGGGGAAGAAGAGCAAAAGACTTCACACCGCACTCCCACACAACGTCACCACTAAACTTAACCACGCAACCAAGCTTCAAACAAGCTCTCTCACCCCCGGAACCATGTACAGTACATGGCGATGCCCAGCAACCCGCCACGACACCTCCACCCCACACAAATCGTAAAATCGAGTGACAATTCGTGTATCTAATGAGTATAAGCAACTCGATAACCGCAAACTGCCGCACTGTATCATATCTAGTGTGTATGCTATGGTGTGTATCATACCCGAACTCACGATACCGTACCAGAGCTCACTCGCTTAAGAATCGGGGGTTATCTTTCCTGGTTTTTTCTTTCCTTTCTCAGACAGGACTTCAAATTGAACACCATGGATAGATGTGTATACGAGTACTCGTCCTCCGAACAACTAGTGCTCCTCGAACGGATGAGTAAGAACTCCGGTAAGCCCCCTTATGTCCCTGTACCTGTACGTGCAAATTGATCGATGAAATGAAGAAATAAGAAATAACCCATGCACACCGAATCACCGGCACGCCATGCCTGTCGTTATGCATGTCAGCCGCGGGCGATACAAGTACCATACCGGCACTCGAGTACTCGTACGGTGCTCGTACAGTACTGTACCGTGTTCTACCATGGAGCACTGTAGAGCACCGTACCGCACTGTACCGCTGAGTAGGTAGTACACACGCGGAGCATGGGAGTAATATCGTGTCAAATCTTATCACGGATGGAAAGGGCAGATCGGACGGAAAAATTCAGGTCAAGCCAAGGCTGCGTGGGTACGGTAGGGGGGGGGTAGGTTAAGTGGCATGGGGATGGGGGACAAGAAAAGGGGTGTTTGGGGGAGGTGAGGGCACTTATGCTGACGGGTCTCATAATTATGGAGCATGGTAGAATGGAACATCACCAGACAGGCACACAACCTATCATACTCGAGCACTGCAAAACGAAAAATGGTATTCCGCAAAAAAAAAATTTAACTTTCAAATTCTTTTTTTTTTTTTGTTGTGGTATTTTCTGTAATACCGTTCCGTTCCGTTATGTCTTTTCTTTCTTCTCCCCTTCTGCAATCTTTGGGTAAAACTTAGACCTCCGTCCAACCCCTCCCCTCCTTTCAAACTAACCAAACCTGACTAGCAAGGTAGCAAGCTAGCTTTCCAAAAAATAAAAATAAAAAGAGAGAGATCCATACAAATATTCTCCGTGAACATATTTCCCATCACGCTCCAAAAAAGTTGCCATAGTAGTGGTAGTAATATCCTGCCCAGCCAGCCAGCCTGATTTCGGTTATGATAATGTCAAAAAAAAAAAAAAGATCCACCAATCCTCGCCTCCTCTCCCCTCCCTACACCCCGACCTTCAGGGCCTCCCCCTTCCCGTGCCAACTTTTTTTTTATTTGTTAATGAAACGTAAGAGAAGAGTGTATGTAAGTAAAGTGAGTAAAAGCGAAAGCAAAGGCAAGCGTCGAGAACCAAAAAAAAAAAAAAGAAGAAACAGAAAACAGAAAACCAACATACAAGAGACGAAGTGATGATAAATAGGTTGGCAGAGATTGATGCCACGAATCGATTAGAAACAGGGGGTATGAGGATGAATAGGTTATGGAAAAAGAGTTCAAGGGTATATAGGAAAGTGAAAAGAAAAAAAAACCAGCCTCCAGATTTTTTGGTGAAGAGGAGAATGAAAAAAGCGAGAAATGGTATAAGTAAAAGTGGAATGAAAAGATCCTCCTCGAGATCGAGAACCACTTGACAATGCTTAGAAGGAATTAACATTGCAAAAAGGAACCGGCCCATCTCTTAGAGGATATGGGACGGTGACTAAGTACAGATCAGATTTCCTGCACAGCATAAAAAAAAAAAAAGGTATTAAAAGATAATGAAGAAAAAAGGGTCCTCTAGCGGGGACCCTCAGAGAGTTTATCCCCCATCGAATTATAGAAACGAAGAGTGAAGAGAAAGAAGTGGAAAAGGAAAAAAAGGAATCAATTAAGATCGATGACTTTGTTTTCAATTTCTCTCTCCCTTGTGTTCAATGGTAGTCCTTTTTTCGCCCCCCCACTCGTAATTCTGACAGTCTTAGTGGTTCTCCAGCAAATTTCAGGAGTCTCCCCGAGCGAAGGAGAATCCGCAAAAACACACTATGTGGTATACAATATCAAAAATAAAAAATGGCAACGAAACAAAAAAGAGAGAAAAGTGACGCTCAAATGATAGTTAAAGAAAAATGGAATGCAGATGCCAACATTGCAAATGCGAATAATCAGACAAATCAAAGGCAACTAAATAACAAAGGAAACTAAAGGGAAATGGGACCAAAGCAAAATAACCAAAAGAGTCCGACAAGATCAAACGACTAAACCAATTCGACTTTCCAGTTTTTAGCCTTCCCCTTTTGAACATTTTGATTTTAGTGATGGAATTTGCAATTTCGATGTGGTTGAATAGGGGTCGAATGCGATGGGATGGCCTTTCCCTTAGTGGGTGAAGAATAGTTGCAAACAGAAAAGCATCGGATGATGGGGCAGATAAAAACAGGCGACAAGTTATTAAAACGAACGCGAAGCTCCCGTTAAAGAAGTCATGAAAGATACTGCTGCTGGTGTTGAGGTGTTGGCGTTATGGGCATCCGTGACGAAGGAACACCACCATCCGAAGCAAAGTATCCTGCATTAGGTGTTACTGGTGGTGTAATGTATCCCATAGTAACCTGCTGCTGACCCTTTGAAGGGGTCATATGTACATCCTGAGACTTCATATCTTCATCCATAGCTGTCCGCGAGGATTCATACACTTCTGACGGCGGTGTAGGGGGCATGCGCTGTTTGGCAATCTGTGCCTGACGAGCTAAAAACTCTTCTAAGATTGTCGAAACACACGCGTATTCCGGGCTGGCGTATTTTCGTGATAGAATCGACGAAGGGCGATGTAGGTTCTGAGACAAAAGGACAAGAACATTCGTATCGTATTTCCCAGCCCATTCCGAATGACGGGGGATGGGGCGGCCAAGGATGTGACGAGCAAGAGCCAATGAAGACCTTGCCATAACAGATGGCCGTACGCTAACAAAATCCTTGTGAAAGAGTGCAACCTCTGAAAGATACCTCGCCATACATTCCACCTCAAGGTCGCAGTTCACCTCCTGAAGAACCATTTGCAAGAAGTTGTCGACCGTAGGATGTCCAACAGTCCAGTTCAAAGTTTGGAGCACGTGCCACTCCATCTGAATAAACATGTCCTGATCATAAAGGCCGCAACACATAGACTTCAACTCCCGTATTGTTGGCACTCTATCCTTCCTATCTCCATATTTAGCAGCAATAAGCATGGCCGAGCATCCAACCAATTGGTAGTGACGCTTGTAGACGACACGCTTTGAACAGTATCGGTCGAGAAGATTAACAGTAAGGAACAGGGTTTCCGGGAGAAGTGAGAAAGCTGTATGGGCTTCAATGAGAAAATCGAGAAGATACGGACGCATGAACCACTGGATTTCCGTTTGGATATCGATACTAGCCACATCCGGTAAAGTCTCGGCCTATAGTCTTGTGTAAGCATTATAAAAGTTAATGACAAAATAAGGGGGGGGGGGTCGCCAACCTCCATAACTTCCATATGGTCGAGAACATCTTCTTGATACTCCTCGGAAACCATGCGCGACATCTCATCAGCAATCTCCATCTGTGTATCCGCATCTATGCGAGCCTTCTCCTGTCTTGACCTGCTAGCCGCAAAAACGCCATCCTGCTCCATATCTTCCACGAAATAAGAATCACAAGGTTGGTAGGCCATGGTTGTGGTGAGGGGGGTATAGTTTTAAGTATTAAAGTAGTGAGTGGACGTCGAGGGTTCGATTCTTCCGTAATGAAGGGCTATTGCAAGGACTGAAAACGTCTTTTGCAAAAAAAAAAAAAAAAAACTATAAAAGAAGGTGATCGGAAGTATTTCGAAAGAACGACAAAAAATTAAGAAGAAGAAATAGCAGACTGGCGAATTAGAGAGAGACAGAATGATTGAGGGAAGGAAGTCTGTCCTTTCTAACCAAGACTAAACCACGGTGGGTAGAAATAGTATTAAAGGGGACCCCTATCGAATTGAGGTACGATAAGTCAGCAACCATTGCCATTCAATCCCGGAGTGGGGGACTATAGGGGTGGAAAAATGCATTTCCAGAGCAGCCCGTACCTTTGGAAACAATTAGAGAAGGCAAGAGGGAAATTCCTTTTATCACAATGCACAAGTAGGACCCGTGTGATAAACGACCCCTTGCTCAATATCCCGTGAATCAATGTCAAAATGGATGAGAACAACCGACAATGGACCGTACACAAAGAATGGGGATTCTTCAGCACAAAGGATGCCTTCTACCTCAGAAGAAAACGAGCTAACGTCTCTGAGGAAGCAAAAGCCGCCGTATGCGAGTCCGAATGACGGATAGGGGGGTATAGTGCGCAAGGCGAAACGACGAGGGGCTGAGAGACGAGAGAAGACTTTTACGAACACGGGAATGACTATAAGGTCGACCTGTGTCTGAAGAGTCTGGATGTTGAGAGGTTCTCGAGGATGTCCTAACGCTGTAGCGAAAAGGAGGTGAATAAGGAATGAAGGAGTGGAAGGAACGTGGGGAGAGTCTGTCGACGCAACCAAGAGGGCAGTTGGTTAGCGAGGAAGACAGAAATGAATGAATTGAAAAGACCGAGAGGCAAATGTGAACTATTCAGTTGGGAAAAGGGAAGAGAAGAGGAGCAGAAAGCCTCTAGTAGCAAAGTTCGGACAACTTTTTCAATGGGGGGGTTTTTTTTTTCCTTTCCTTCTCAAGTGCAGGTGGAATCCCAGGGGCCTGGTAGTTCGGGACGACTGGACAAGAAAAAAGAAAAAAGGCCCTGAACACATCTTTTGGAGCAGGACAGAGCCGGCTCTACTCGAGGAGCGCGGTGCATCCCAACACTGCTCAACCAGACAAAAAGAGAGGCTGCAGCCAGCAGTGATGGGCATTGGTACCCCTTCCTTGCACCCCATTTCAATTTGCTCTTTATCGTCACCATACTGGCTGGTTCCCTGGCTCGTCATGCTGACAACCCGGGAAACTTGGAAGGTAAAAGAAAAAATAACGAAATAATGAAATAATAATAATAATAATAATAAACAAAATATTATGAAAAAAAAAAGTCGAGGAAATACATTTTTGGAAGAATTATTATTTTTCACCTCCCATCAAACAAAAGAAAAGGGGGGGGGATACATGGGCCAGCTGGTAATATAGATTACTTGTGCCCCGAAATCACTCGAGTAATATAGAAAATGGGGAAAAGGGAAAGGGCTTCAAGGAAATCGGGTTCTACTGACAGTTGGAGAAGTTTTGATTCAAACGTTGAGATGCGAAAGTTGACCGTGAATAAGTCACTTTCCACCAAACTTTTCTTCCGCCTACAGCAACCGGTTCGGCTAGTCCAGGTCGAGCTTCGCCAGCAGTCAAACGACACAGTAAAAGCCTTCTTGACTGTTTCACGGAATCGCCCCGTCTGTTGCGTGGACGGAGAGCGAAAGTGAGGGGTGGGGATGAGGGAGAGGATGATGAGGGAGAGGATGTCGACCCGGTACGACAAAGAAAATTGGCTCGAGGACACACGAGGGAGGGAACAGTGCCAGTCTTGTAGGCTAGTCTAGCACCTTCAACTCCGTCTCGAAGTTCAATCGATTGGTTAGGCCTGCCGGGCGATGGAGGGGGGGGGAGAGGATGGAGGAGGAGGGGGAGGGGGGGAAGAGAGAGAGATGGAGGAAGAAGGGAAAGAAGGAAAGGAAAGGCTGCTCTCTACTACGAGTTGATCTCTCTGACTACCGACTGGGGGATTTCAAACACACATGTGTGCTATGAGGGGGATTACTTATTTAATCAACCTCTCGACACTGCTAAATGATGCAAAGCAGCACCCTGTCTACTCATCCAAATTTTTGTGCTTCCTTAAAAACCCAGATGGGTTCTTTTTTTTCTTCTTCTTCTTCTCCCTCTTTCTTACAGTATGTACGAGTACTGTACGGTACTCGAGTACTAGCACAGTCTTGTCGCGCGATGGCGGTAGTGGTGGGGAGGTGGTGGGCGAGAGAAGAGGCAAGAGAACATGGGGCGAAGGGGGGATGAAAGATGCTGTTTCGCTCTACAGTAGCTGAGGAAAAGCATGCCGGTCACGGCGGTCGCGGTACTTCACCAGGAGTCGAGGTCCCATCGCGTCTTTCACCCCATTTCGTGCGGAAGGCATGGTACAAGGAGCGAAGAGTATTGACGAATGAGCAAGTAAAAGCCAAAAGGCTGTTCCTAGCTGATTCTCGCCATGTTAGATAGACCCGCCATCCAATGGAGAAGCGTACCAGCCCTTCCTCCGGCCGCCGCATTTCCCAAGCACCTTTCCCTGCTGCGCGCTGAACCTCACCCCCCGTTTTCGCTCTCCCAACTGCATATCAGGGGGTTATAGGTATGTAAGAAGGTAGGTGGGACAGCACGAGTGCCCGGCTTCTGCAGCACGCGAATTGATTCAAACACGGAGAAGCACAGTTTATTTATTTATTTATCTATCTATTTATTTATTTATTCTATTACTTCCTCCTGGCGTTTGTGTTAGACTCCCCAACTGAGAGCACAGGTATGCACCACCAGACTAATACTTTTTACCCCTTCTTACTCATAGCGGTCACTACGAGTACGAGTACAAGTACACTTGAGTGGGGCAGTTCATTTAAGCTTTTTTTTTTTTTTTCGACACCATGATACACATATAGATAACAGAGTAAAGATCAAAGAAAAAAGAGTATAGCATCGAAAAATTAAGATAAAAAAAATTATAGAATGGGAGCAAGTCTTGTTGTCTGTGGATGGATGGATGGAGAGCGAATATCTCCCTCTATGAATGCACTTTCTTCGTCCGATCCCCAAGTTACTTCATAGCCGCACACCTAGGATCCTCAATATTGGGGAAAGCCCTAGGGCGCATACGAGTGGAGCAGTAGCCGACCATTCGGCGAATTAACGGGCATTCGTACCTCGACCAAGGGTCACGAAACGGATCTCCCTGTGAGCCAAATAGTTTCAGGGTACCGGAGAATTTGACTTTTCGATTGCCTCCCGTATCGAATGCCGGGCTGGTATACACGGTACCATAGGGTAAACCTTGCCCTTGTGTCCTGCCTCCCGAGTGGATAGGCACGGGGTTACCATGCCACAAGGTATGGCACTCGAGTTATGCCACTGGGAAGGGGAAAGCCAAGAGGATGGATGTTACAAAGAGTGGCTTGAGCTTCAGCCATTGGTGGGTGAGGTGCGTTGGCAGACTGGCGCAGCAACTAGCAGAGGAAGGAACGCAGTTGAATGGGGAAAGAGAAAAAAGGCAAATAAAAAGGGCAAATAAAGGTGGAGCTGCTTGCTCATGAGATGAATCTGCCGGAGGAGCATCTCAGATTCGAACGTCGTACAGGCCAATCACCATCCCCGTACTCAGAGTACCGGTACAAGTACTAGTACAGAAGGTACGGTACAAGTGCGTACCATACATTACACCCTAAGGGAAGAAGTCATCTTGTATCGCTTGATACCTGAAGCAAAAAAAAGAAAGAAAGAGTTGTTTCCTCCATGTTGGTCATTCCAATTATTATATCTGATTCGGTTTCCTGCGTCCCCGTTCATCTACCTGAGATCAAACATCCCAGGGTGGGTTTTCCACATTGACCGGGCTGCAGTGCGAAAAAAAGAGTTTTGTCCGGTCCATTACTAAGTCTCAATGGACGTCATGGCGTCTAGAAAGGCTTCGTCTTGAAATTCTCGGCCGCATCATATCCACCATACATATAGCACAGTACGAGTAGTCTACCCGCCGTGCCAGTAGTGCACTGCTCGTGTGAGTAAAACAAACAAACTAGACCTTATGCAAGTATGATACCGGTATCATACGGTAGTGGAAGGCAGACTACTACCGTACTCGAGCAGCCATCAATTGCGAATAACGCTTTGACCTTCAATAGCATCTGTCTTAAGACCGAAGAGTAGAGTCAGAATTGCGTTATGTATGTTTCATGCTTCTTCTTGCTTTTTTTTTTTTTTGCCAAAAGCATCAACAGAGAACATTGGCTTGGTTGTTGTTGTTGTGATGATAATGATGGGTAACGCATCGGCCATTGTTGATCACTCTTGCGATGCGCTTCCACGCGGAGAGTGGGAGAGAGATACCGGTAGAGAGAGAGAGGGCGAGAAATGTGGGTGTGGGAAGATCAATTACCGTAGCCTGAGAGAGAGAGAAAACGCGGGGCAATAGGACAGACGGCCTGCCTGCTCTTGCCACCAAGCAGGAGAAGGGTCCGCGGTGGACAAATAGAATATTGGGACCCTTTTCTTCTTCTTCCTCCCCCCAAAAAAACTATGGGAAAATCGCGATGTATGTGCGATTGGCGGTCGATGATGTATTGTAAACAATGCGAAGAGAAATTCTATTAACGGGCACTCTTCACCCCTCAACTGATTTGTTCGCGTATCGTACCTGCTTCATATCAGCGCGCGTGTGCACCGGACCCCTTCTGCACGCACGCACGCGGAGGAAGAGCAAATTAGGCAGGAATTTCATATGATAAGGGGACCTTTTTTTTGCTGCTAAGCCTGATAATTGCTTCGACAGATCGAGCCTTTTTTTAATAAACTAGGCAACGAACACGTCAGTGCCCATCTAATTCTAATACTTGATATGTTTTTTGTTCCTTCCTAGCAGTGAAATCGGACAGACAAAAAAAAAAAAAAAAAAGTGAGGGAATGGCCTTGTGTACCAGCTATCTCATTAGGGGGGAGGGGCATTAGCAACCGTGGAAGATGTCGCTGGAGTCTGTAGCAAGCTTATAATTGCCGCGAAAAGAGAGGCGGTTGCCTGGGCAGTTACTGCACTGTGTGGTATGATAGAATACGGTATCGCATTGGATACTTAGCCGACTGGTCAGAGAGTGCTAACGAATGGAAAGACGTGAGGAAAGGAAAGGAAAAAAGAGAAAAGGAATACAATCCATGCAAATCACATTTCATCAAAAAAGAAGGAAAAAAAAAACAAGGGAAAAGGGAATCATGCAACCCATTAGGATAAAAGGAAAAAAAAAAGAAGTCGCCTTTTTTTTTCTTTTCTTTCTTTTTTTCACTTTTCCACGCCCTTCACCATCGCGAACTCGACCGGACTTACAGTAGAAACAATGCCGATCCTTCAACCTTCAGCTCGTAAAAAACCTCCCTACGCAATGCCTGATATCCAGAGAAGCTACCTCCAAGCCACAAGTGCGAAACTCTCCAGTCATCAGAGAACTTCCCATGGTGAGGAGTGAGTGAGTGGCGGCGCATAAAAAAGTGGGAAATGAAAAAGTAATTCTTCACAACAAGAAAATAAGGATAAAAATAAAAATAAAAATAAAAAGGCCTCCGGAAATTTCTCGGGCTTTAGGTAAGCTTAAATCGACTTGCTCAATGCTCAGGTATCTATCTAATTTATCTAATCATCCCCCCCCTTGTCAACCATGTGCGATATAACAATTTAACTCACAAGCCTACCTCACGTCGACGTGGATCGACTGAAGACCTTGCCTTCAAAATTGTAATTATAACGATAACCTGAGTCTCCCGCTCGTCGCGAGCCGCTGGTGGTGATGATAACGTTTGGTATTCGCCATCTACGAGTACGAGTAGACTTTGAAGTTGGGCTCAAGGTTCACCGCAGACCGGTGGACATGTCTGCGGTGATAGGCGCCAAGCCTATCACGTTGAAGCAACGACCGGTACAGCCTGATCCGGTATCGGAGGAGTGCACTCCACCGGCTGTGCACGGTATGATCATGGGAAGGCTTGGGCAGTTCCAGTCCCCTAACGCAGTGATGGATTTCGCCATCCCACCGAACTAGGATTTTGCATCTCTGTGGCTTCGTAGAATCTCGCTTGTCGGTGTCTCGGAAAAGGGGGAGGAGGAATGGAGTGGAGCGGGGGAGAGGAGGAGGGAGGGATATTGTAACTTCTTTGGCTCGGAAAGCCTTCAGTTGGGGCTTCTTTAATGGCTTTCCTTCCCTCCTTCCTTCCTTTTTTCCTCTCCCTGACCTCCCGTGCTTATGCACAATAAATTGCGGTACGGCTGCATAACCCAATCAGCTTATTATCATTCACTTTTTAAACGTAACCTGACGAACACACCTGGAGGATGCAGTATCATATCGTACTCGAGTATGATACTCACAGTACGAGGAGGTTGCAACGACTAATGTGGCCGCGCTACCCCACGCTGTGCGAGTATTACGGCAGGCGCTGCAGAACTGAACCTCGAAGGAGGGTCGCATAAAATATTCCTTTCCCCACCATCGCCACATCCACCGGCACTTGTACCTGTGCTGCTCCAGGTTATCTGGCTGCGATATGTACCCAGGAGTCATCTCTGTGAGTCGATCAGGTGGAGATGACTGGAAGAAAGAGGTCTCATGTTTAGATAAGCGCGATTCCCCACTCACACTACTCGAAAGGTTCATGTTGCGCTTCTGGAGAGCTCTCAATATTCTAATAGAGTGGAATAATAAGTTAATAGACGGGAATAAATGATCTTATCATCATTTATTTACCAAGATACGCGATCCCTTATCGCGGGGTTGTGGGGGGGATTGCAGGGTGGGTGTGGGGGCCACGGTAGTGTTACCATTTTAGTTAATGAGCTACGGTAACCGA